ACGTAGAAACTCGACAATAATAAGGGCTAACATTGTTGAGGAGGCGCCACAAAATAAGAAGAGGAAGAAGGCTTCTGGACCAAAGTATTACCTAAGCAAGAAAAAGTTCAAGGGTAATTGCCACAACTGTGGAAAATCTGGGCATAAGGCCGTGGATTGTCGTGCACCAAAGAATGATAAGAAGAAGAAGAATCAAGCTAACATGGTTGAAAATGCTAAATAAATGGAGGACTTGTGTGCCATGTTGTCTGAATGCAACTTGGTAGGAAATCCTAAAGAATGGTGGATAGATTCTGGAGCCACCCGCCATGTTTGTGCTAACAAGGTGTTATTTTCTTCTTATGCCCCCGCAGGACCCGACGAGACAATTTTTATGGAAAATTCGTCTACAGCCAAAATTGAAGGAGTTGGCAAGATTGCGTTGAAGATGACGTCGGGAAAGATTGTGACTCTAAACCAAGTTCTCCATGTTCCAGAAATTCGCAAGAATCTGGTGTCTACCTCACTTCTTGTCAAGAATGGATTCAAATGTATTTTTGTTTCCAATAGTGTTGTACTAAGTAAGAATGATATGTATGTAGGAAAAGGTTACCTGAATGAGGGTCTTTTTAAGCTAAATGTAATAGCAGTTCCTATTAATAAAGTTGATGCTTCTTCTTACTTACTTGAGTCAAACACTTTATGGCATTCACGCTTAGGTCACGTCAACTTCAAAACATTGCGAAAGATGATAAATTTAGAAGTATTGCAAAAATTTGATTGCATTAATTCCAAATGTCAAATATGTGTGGAAATAAAGTATGCTAAGCATCCTTATAAGTCCGTTGAAAGGAATTCAAATCCTTTAGACTTAATTCACACAGATATTTGTGACATGAAGTCAACACCATCTCGTGGTGGGAAAAAGTATTTTATTACTTTTATTGACGATAGCACGAGATATTGCTATGTTTATTTACTTAATAGTAAAGATGAGGCAATTGATGCTTTCAAGCAATACAAGAGTGAAGTTGAAACACAACTAAACAAAAAGATCAAAATGATAAGAAGTGATATGGGTGGAGAATATGAATCTCCTTTTGAAGAAGTATGTTTGGAAACTGGCATTATTCACCAAACAACTGCCCCTTACTCTCCACAATCTAATGGAATTGCGTAGAGAAAGAATCGAACGTTGAAAGAAATGATGAATGCGTTGTTGATAAGTTCTGGTTTACCACAGAACTTGTGGGGGGAAGCTATACTTACAACTAACCGAATAATCAACCGTGTACCTCATAGTAAAACACAGTCCATTCCCTATGAAAAATGGAAAGGAAGGAAGCCCAGCTTGAAATACTTCAAAGTGTGGGGGTGTTTAGCTAAGGTACAAGTTCCTAAACCTAAAAGGGTTAAGATAGGTCCAAAAATGGTGGATTGTGTATTTATTGGATATGTAACCAATAGCAAGGCATATCGTTTTCTGGTTCATAAGTCAGAAAATCCTGAGATTCACGTTAATACGATAATAGAATCAGATAATGCTGAATTCTTTGGAAACTATTTATCCGTATAAAAGGGAAAGTGAGGTGACCTACCAAAAGTCAAAACGACCTCGGGAGGAAATAACAGATGGTATGCCTAATGAGGAAAATTCGAGAAGAAGTAAACGTCAATGGACATCTACTTCATTCGGTCCAGATTTTCTGACTTTCTTGCTAGAAAATGATCCTCGTACCTTCAAGGAAGCAATGTCTTCCTCAGAAGCACAATATTGGAAAGAAGCTGTCAATAGTGAAATAGAATCCATATTGAGCAACCATACCTGGGAATTGGTTGATCTTCCTCCAGGTAACAAAACATTGGGTTCTAAAGATTTTCAAGAAGAAAATGAAAGACGATGGTACTATTGACAAATACAAGGCAAGACTTGTTGTCAAAGGATTTAGACAGCGAGAAGGTCTTGACTATTTTGACACATACTCGCCGGTAACAAGAACTACATCCATTCGGATGCTAATAGCGTTAGCCGCCTTGTATGATCTTCAAATCCATCAAATGGATGTAAAAACAGCCTTCTTAAATGGTGATTTAGAGGAAGAAATTTACATGGACCAACCTGAAGGGTTTGTGGTTCCGGGAAAAGAAAAGAAGGTGTGTCGACTTGTTAAGTCTCTTTATGGACTAAAACAAGCACCCAAGCAATGACATGCGAAATTTGATCAAACAATGTTGTCAAATGGCTTTACTTGGAATTTAGAAGTGCAAGAACTCCAATTGATTTAAATCATCATCTTATAAAGAATAAAGGTGAAAGTACGTTTCAATTGGAGTATGCTCGTGTGTTGGGAAGCTTAATGTACATCATGAACTGTACACGACCTGATATAGCTTGTGCAATAAGTAAACTTAGTCGATTCACAAGTAATCCAAACAAACATCACTGGGTGGCAATGAAACGAGTTCTGGGATATTTGGAATATACCCAAGACTACGCTTTGCACTACAATAAATATCCTGCGGTTATCGAAGGATATAGTGATGCAAATTGGATAACCGGCTCAACAGAAACAAAGTCCACAAGTGGATATGTTTTTACTGTTGGTGGAGGAGCAGTATCTTGGAAGTCTTCCAAACAAACGTGCATCGCTCGCTCTACAATGGAATCAGAGTTTATAGCTTTGGATAAAGCCGGTGAAGAAGCTGAATGGCTTCGAAATTTCTTAGAAGACATTCCGTTCTGGCCAAAACCTTTGGCTCCTATTTGCATACATTGCGATAGTGAGGCTGCAATAGGACGGGCAGGGAGCGTTATGTATAACGGAAAGTCTCGTCATATACGACGAAGACATAACACCGTTAGACAACTACTTTCTAGTGGAATTATCACTATTGATTATGTAAGATCAAAGGATAATGTGGCGGATCCGCTTACAAAAGGCTTAACTAGAGAGGGAGTTGAGAAATCATCTAAGGGAATGGGACTATGGCCGAGGACAAGTCAACATGGCGGTAACTCTACCTAGAATTTTGGATGTTCCGAGATCTAGGTTCAAGGAGCTCAAACAAAGTTGTGATTGACCGGTTCAACATTGTCAAAGTAAAATCTTTGGTCCCTTCTCGTGATGAAAACAATGTTCAGTAACAAGGATAGAACTTTACACGTTCTTTAATGATTACCTAACTTTGATGTGGTATTTATCAAATAGTGTCAATCTAAAGGATTACACGTTTAGGAATCACCTATGTAAGTGTGAAGTGGAAGCCGCTTCAATGAGAATTCTGTAAGGCCAATTCTCTACGCACTTATGAAACCGGGCGGTGTTCATGGCTGAAACGAACACAACAATGAGAACCAAAAAACGGTTAAGGGTTGGTTGTGTGACATATGGTTGTCTAGGTATACACTAAAGTTCGACGGTTCAAAGATATCAAATCTAACGATTGACCGAGTATATCCGACATATGTTCACTACGGAAAGTTCAAAGGGAAACCTACTTATCCAGATCCGATTAATCCTTACTTGCAAATCACACAGCTTTCATCTATGATCATTCTTGTTACAGCCATTCCCATTCATGTGGGGGATTGTTGGACTTTAAAGGCATTGAGCTTCAAAGACTTTAAGCATTGGGCTTTAAAGTATAAGAGTGTGAATTGGAAATAGTGAAAAATAAAATGAAGGGAAATGAAAATTTGAATGAAGTGAGCTTTTGACTTGCACTTTGTCCCTCATTGGTGAGGGACAACTACATTTGTGTGCTTATATATAGAATCACTTCTTAAAGCTCTTAAAAGGAGTTGAAGAGAATGATCCCTCGCGCTGTCGTCGTCGCTCACTCGGTTCGGCTTCGGCTTTGGATTTGGATTTGGATTTGTCAAATGATTGATCGATAAGATTATTTTTGGACAAAATTTATTTAATTAATTATTTAATAATTAATTAAATGCCAGATCACTGCTGAAGATTCAGAAGGATAGTCTGGTCGCGGTCCTGGCGTAACCGTGCCAGAACCCTGCTGCAGATTCAGAGGGCCACTCTGGCCGTGGTCCTGGCGTAACCGCGGCAGGCCGCGTAAACTTTTGAAATGGCACCTTTTCCAAAACAAACATCACACCTCTTCCAATAATTGCCTATAAATTCTGAGGCATGGCTTCGTTTTTAACACACCAAAAACATTACAGAACTTCCTTCTTTCTGAAAATACTGCATTCTAATTCGCAGTCTCTCTCTCTCAAATTCATAAGTGTGATTTTGCTCCGTTCTTTAAGTTCGTTGGTATCCTGCAGTTTGTATTGCCACTGTTGCAGGAAGGTTTATTCCGTTTTATCCTGGGAGGATTTAATCCATTACCTTGGCAACGTGTGAGGGGGTTAAAATTCCTTAAGGACGCACAAGCAAATTGTGGACTCGGAATATTTCTTAATCTTTATTGTTTTTCCAATTTCTTTTATTCTTCTAACAGTTTTCTGATTTTGTGTTTTAACACAGCAGCAACAACAGGTGTAATAAAACTTTACAGCATGTAAGGACCTTTGAATTCTAGATAGTTAGTTATATGTAAGTTTTTAGGCTTGGAAGATGAACAATTTAGTTATGGTTGGTTTAGTCAAAATTTGAAGCTTTTTATTTAGCTTTTTCCCTTCCTATCTCAACACATAATGGCTCAATTTTTGTCAAATAGCAATAAAACCATACAAGAAAATAAAAAAAAATCACAAATTATATAAAGAGGTTATAGCTCCATGTATGCAATTTCATTATATGCACATAAGCATCTTACGTATAAAAAAAAGGGAATTATGGACGTGTCTTTCTAATCCAAGTAGGATCAACTATGTTGGGCCGGTGTATGTGTAGTTTAAATCGAAAAAGAATTTCATCATTAGGTAATTTACAATTAGATCCTTAAATTATACAAATATTTAAGGGCATAAAAGTCAATCAATATTTCAAGGATATTTTAATCATTCAACATTTAGCATAAATTATTGGTGCTTTTATAATATATATATATAGTACACAATAAAGTTTTTACTTTTTTATTGCCACCAAACCTCTAGTTCAATCTTCAACCAACACTGTTCAACTTTGAGTACAAATAAAACTAGAAAGTTTAATTATTATTTTTGTACAAAGCAAGAAAAGATGAGGAAAACACACAAATTACACGAGAAAAGGTAAATACATAATATGAGGTTGTAGGGTTGGTTGAAATTGGACACTAATGCATAATTTGCATTATAACACACAACCAGATCTAACACATCTACAGCAAACCCAACAATCATCTTTACAATCATTGTAAACACAATCTCTCCCACAAGTCATAAGTTTAAATGGTGAGAGTAGCCTCTTCTCAAGTCCCAAGAGATCGCGATCAATATCCCGTGAAGCCAGTACATGCGTCTCTGAGAACCACGACACATTGACTGAAAAATTTATCGTAACAAAAACTGATCAGAATCAAACGATGACAAGTATTACATGAATGAAAACCACACATCCAAATAATATGTATAAAAACACTTGGAAGACCATGCATACAGTAGCAAAGTCAAGAATCTCGTTAAGAGTTTTCAAGATTTAATATATAAATATGTTAAAAACTAATATTTGTCATATATACACTATAATTTTCGTGTAATATATGTTCAACTAACAACCTTTTATCGGATTTAGCTACGACTCCGCATATATATACATATGTACGTACACAATCACTTATGTAACCATATATGAGAGTAAAAAAGCACAATAAGTAAATTGCTATATAGAGATTAGAGAGATAGAAACTAACTAGTGGTTGTCATGAGAAGAACGGTTAGAACGAAAGCAAACCTAAGCAACGCCATACTAAGAATAGCTCTTTATGATTTATGAAAGTTTTTTTGTGAGCATATAATTGCTATTCGAGGAGCTTAATTTATAGACCTTCCCCTCTAATGATTGTTGAGGCTCTAGAATAATGGAATATAATTGTTTGGTTGTTATTTTTCAATCATAAATTGTTTTTTTCTTTCTATCAAGCCTTGTGGGGCTTGTCTTTGTTTTTAAATAATGCATTCTATATTATAAAAGCCCTTTCTCCCTCCAACCACCCAAAAAAAAAAAAAAAAACATGAATGAATGAATCCAAATATCTAGGATTATCAATTCCATTCATTCTGCAGTAGATTGTGAAAATTGGAAATTAACTTGACGAATAGCAATTTTACGAATTGAATAAGGCTACTAACATATGTTCCACTGTAAAACTATATATAGTTTGAATTACAAAAGAAATTGCAAAAAAATCTTTTTAATTATATACAGTCTCCTGCATATTCTTTCTACTTCCTATTATTTATATTTATATAAGAAGTGCCAATAAAATAAGTGAAGCAGGCACTACTTTGTTGACATACATGCTTTAGCCAAAAAAAATAAAATATTCACCCCTGGTTTAGTATATCATTACGTTAATGCCATCGCACAATTTAGTGGGCGTTTGGACATAAGTATTGTAAAATTCCAACCAAAAACAATGAGATTTTTTTTAAGTGTAGATGATATTTGAAAATTAGAGTTGTGTTTGGACATGAATATAATTTTGTGTTGTTTTTGAAGTTTTGTGAGTAATCTGAATGAATATTTTGAAAAATAAATTTTGGGAGTTTTTTAAAATTATCGAAAAATTTCAAAATACATTTTCAAGTGAAAATTGGAAATTTTATAACCAAAGCTGATTTTGAGAAAAAATGAAAAAATTTCGAAAAGAAATAAAAAATTTCTTATGTCCAAATAGGCTCTTAGTGAATTAAAGGAAATTTTGAGGCATTTTTAAGGCCCAAATTGTTAGGTCCATTTCGATTGCATGAAGACTACAATGATGAGATGGGGCCCACTTAAATTTGTAATTCACACCATCCTTTACAATTTACACGTTTATCACATTTTTAAGTTATCATTGACCATGTAGGCCCCATAAAAATTTTATCATCTCAAATGTCTCCCTTACAGCCTATTTGGATGGTTGTGTTAGGATGCGTCAGCTGCATACATCTCTGCACTTCTACTTGATACCTATCGTAATGATAAATAATTTGTCTTGTTGTGATCTTCTCTTGAATTATCAAAAAAACTTTTATCGCTCCATCCCCGCAGGGGCAGAGAACCCGTCGATGTCTCGGCTATGCTGTCGGAGGCTCTGGGGAAGTCGGAATAGGAGAGCACTCATCTTGGGGTGGGACAACTTCGACCCCGCATTGTTCACAAAATTTCGGGTCTTCTTTTTCATCTCTGATTATTCGATAATTTCCACAAGCACAAATTCCGCTTTTTATAGTACCATAAATTCTTTCACAAAATAATCCATCTTTTTCCGATTTGTTAGTTTTGTAATGAAAAGTATAGGGTTTTGTTACCTCTCCAACTATCTGTCCATTAGGCAGGATTTTAGTGGCCCAAGCACTTATTTGTTGAGGAGAAACTGATCCAATTCGGAGTTGTTGATGTTTATATCGATCGATCATAGAAGAAAAATTATTTATCCATTGTATTGTATCGTATTGTTACTTTAAATATGATGTTTGTTTTGATTGTTACTTAAATTTTATTATATCGTATCGTTAAATCCGTCGTTACATAACGACGAAATGTACCACTTTATGTAACGATCAATTTGGTGTGGTCGCATCGTTACCTTGTCTTTTTCTCTCAATCTCACCCTTTATTATTATAAAATAATTTTATTTTATCGTTTACCTTACCTTTTTATATAGTAATTTTATCATGTATCATAATTTTTCTTTATAATATTACAAGTTTATTCTTCATATTGATGGTGCGTGATATCATGAAACGATGGCAAACGACACAATCTATCCAAATATTGTTTTTATCAAATGATACAGTACAATACAATACAGTACGATACGATATATTATGAAACGATACGAAACAACCATCCAAACAAGCTGTTAATTCAAATGACTATTCTCATTTATTTTAAACTCAAGCGTGCCAACAAGTGTCGGTTAAAAGTTATTTTCTATTATATAGAAAAGGAAAGATGGTTGACCAAGGCCATATATGTCATTTCATAAAAAATTCATGTTTGTATTTCTTAAATGTAAAATACACGTGGACCCCACATTCCTCTAGCCACTACTCTCCTTTAAATGCACTATGCTTGTGTTGATTACACTATCTGTGTAGTGCAAATGCTCATTTCCAATCTTTTTCTCATTTTGGAAATTATTAATTTTTGTTTTATTTAAATAGAAGTTTCCATAGAGAAAATAAAATTAATTTTTAAATAATACAACAACAAAAAGAAGTATCGATATTTACGAGATTTTCATATTTACCCATACTATCTTAAAGCAATTTGAAAATAAAAATTAAATAATTTTCATCTACCATATTATTTGAAGACGATTTCAAACTAAATATTTTTATATTCAAAAGTAACTTTAAAATATATAGCTTGTTAAACCTCAAAAGTTAATTAACTAAACACTAACAAATAATAATTTTAATAAAATTGCAATGTTGGGCCCGTATACGGGCCTTTCCTCATCTAGTAAGTAAGAGAAAGGAAATGAACTTTCATTTCATCGCATGCATTTTTCCAAAACCATTTCAGTGTTAACTTTAGAGATTTTTACATTCCTGTGCCACATAGGAAATCTTATTACCCTCAATGTTTAAGGTTTGACTTAATTACACTTAGTATACCAAATTATCAATTCTATACCATAATTAATTAAATATTTTTAACTCCTTAATTAAAGGAATCTGCACGTTTCTCTCTCCTAACCCCTCAGTCCCCCCCACGTTTTACCCATACCCACGTTCTTTTTTCCATTTTCCATCTTCTGAAACCAAATTCTCCCTCTAAATTCACAGAAAATTGAAGAAACCCTTCAACAAAGTTGGTTCCCCATTTTACTCCAGTTGAAGTTCATCAATGAAGAACAACAAAGTTCATCAAAATTGAAGTCANATTTTTAATAACTTAATTGTATAAATTATATATATATACCTATGGGTTTCGGGCTCGATATTTTGAGGCCATGTGGCACCAAACTATCATTAATAATTATGTGCTTTTTTATAATTTAAATTCATATTTTTTAATAACTTAATTGTACAAATTACTAATTATGTGTGTTGATACAATTATTAACTTAATTGTACAAAGTTTGCATTTTCAACTACCAGTATAAGATACTTAAACAAACGGAATTCTAAGCTAAAATACTACACATTACTACGCTACAAGGCTCTAAATTTTACTACGCTAAAAGGGTCTAAGTTTTACTACGCTAAAAAGGTCTAGATTTTACTACGCTAAAAAATAATCTAAACTAAATATAAACAACAAATAAATTTAATTGCAAATAAAACACAAAACGGCATGAAAACACATATATATAAATGAGGATATTAACAGACAAATTTATTTGACAAATTTATATTTTTTTATAAAACAATAAAATTAAATCCGGATAAATTTAACATGCTAGTTTCCAAAAAAAAAACACAAACCGAAATAGAACACATACAAATCAAGTAATATGCATTATTATAAAAGTTTCAACTTAAAATAAAACGAAATACCTCGATTTAGATTTTCAGAAAGTAAATAGATTGAAATTTCGACTCCGAAAGTATGAATCAACAATACCACGAAGCTCTACACAGATGTGGGACCTACGTGCTTTAACTTTTATGTGCCGGGGGGACCCAAATTTTTTTTTTTAAAACGAGGGCAGCAGCGGGTAATGGGGGGACCAAGAAGAGGGGAGAGTAAAATAATGGAGGAGGAGGGGAACCGATTGGGCACGGTGAAGGAGACGGATGAATTTTAATAAGGGGTATAGCGCCAGGTATTATGGCGCTATACCTGAGCTGTGTCAGCTTTTACAGTATAGCGCCACAATACCTGGCGCTATACTTAACGGTGTTGTTACCGTTAATATATAGCGCCAGGAATTCTGGCGTTATATATAAAAAAACCGCTTTTTTTTTACCACCTATTTGTGTAGTTTGAGTCAAAAGGAACCACATTTTTGTTCCGGACTCGTGAATTTAATCAGCTTGCAGTATACTTTATGGGTTCGTCTGAATTTAACTAGTTTTGCGGTATACCAATGTAATACTTGCTAATCTCACTTACTAACTAGTAGGGGCGGATCTGACGTATACTTTACGGTTTCATCTTAATTTAATATTTTTGCTAAAATTTTGTATATATGTTAAAAGTTTACTATAAGTACAAACAATAATTTTTTTAACCCAATAAATCAAATATCAGGTGGTAGAATTTCGAAATTGGACCTCATAATGTTCATATCCTGGCTCCGCCTCTATTGACCAACTAGTCTGTAATAATGGGCAATGAATATATAGATGAACAAATCTAACCTGTTTTAGAGTCACTACCTGTGTGAATACTGCATCTTGGTTGCAGAGGTGGATCCAAGATTTAAACCTTGTGGTTTTAACATTTAAGGTTTTTTTAATTGAACTCATTTTATCTTTAAACCTATAGATTCAGACCTATCGTTTATGATAATTTTAGTGAATTTTTATATCTGTTAAAAATACTGGGTTCAAATGAACCGGCTCCGCTACTCTACATCCGCCCTTGCTTGGCTGCCTTGTTTGTGAACAGCTACTGTCGTGAAAGCGTTTGGCCGTCCTTTTAATGTGAGTTTGGCTGTTTGGATATGGTCGGTGATCGAACCATTGGCAGGAAGAAACTGGCGTATTTTACGTTCTTTATAATGGTATATGCATGTCGCTTTTTAGCTATTAATAATAATAGATAGAGTTGCAAATTAATTTAAGAGTCCATTTAAAGGGAGGTATCTGCTTTTTGACCTAAAATGAAAGGCTGCTTTTGCTTTTAGCCCTATAGGTTGGGGTCA